CCCTCTACGGGGGGGGTCCCCCCGGGACAGCCTCAGACAAGAGGGTACCCAGGGGCGCAGGTCCAGGTCCCCCGTGACATCCCTGGGGGCATCCTCAACATGGAGCCTTGGGTGCTCCCATGGGGCCGAGTGCCCTGGGGCTCCCTCGTGGGGAGGGTCCCTGGAGTCCCGTGTGGCTGAGGTCTCTGGGGCCCCTGTCCATGGCCCCTGCTCTACCCGCCCACCCGCACGGGCTTCTCTCCAGTTCCAAACACGGCCCCAGCCGGCTGCACGCGCCCAACGGCCGGGTTTGAAAAACGCTGCTCCGCGCCTCCCCCCGCCTCCCCCCGGCGCCTTCTCGCAGCCAAGCGCTGCAGCTGCAGCTTCCCTGTCCGTCCTCCCCGCCGCAGCTCCCGCCTCGGAGCAGGAGCCTGGGGCTCTCCGGAAGCGAGTCCTGAAGATGCCATGAGGATGGGGCACACGTTGCGTTTCCTGACCTGCCCCAAGCAGCATTGTTGGGTCCAGCATCACGTATCCGGGATGGAGGCTCCCTAGATGCCCCAGAAAGCAGCAGGGTGGCACACAGCCCATCCAGGAGCTCTTATGCCACCCCTGGTGCTGAGGGGACACAGTCAGGATGAGGAGGTGCAAAGGGCAGCTGGGATGGGGCAACATAGGTGGGCATGTGCACCCCTGCACAGCGAGGCCCCAGCACCACGGCAGGGGATCAACGGGCTGCAAAACGTTTCCCAGACTGACAGCACCGCGGGCAGCCGCGATGCTAACGCGGCCCTGCATCCAGCACCGATCCCGGCTCCGCGGCCTGGCTGCAGCTCCCCCACGAGCCAGGGTGTCTGGTCGAGAGGCTGGTCTTGCGCTAGCTGCTCCTGCGGGAATTATTCAATAAATGTGAATTAAGTGAGGGCGGGCGGCTCTCCGAAGCTCTGAAAGAGGAGCAATGAGCTTAAGCAGCCCCCTGGGCCTGGCGAGCCTGGACGGCGGCCAGCGCCGGCGCGGAACATCCCTGAGCACCGGGATGCTCTGCTCACTTGTGTCTCTGTGACAGCGAACACGGCTCTGGGGGCAGCAGCCCTCAGCCACCACACAGCCAGGTCCTCCGGTTGACCCCATCATCCCAATGATTTTGGAGGGAGAAGTGGGGTGGCCATGGGCACACTGGGACAAAAGATGCGCCCACAAACACCAAGGAGGGGTTCTCAGTGCAGCCAAGGCAGCAAGGCCACCTGTGGCACCGGTCCCAGCGGATGCACCCCTAAATTGTCCTTAGCACCAAGAATGAGCCCAGGCAAGCAGCAGCTCTGGGCCCCTGAACATCCCTCTGGATCAGGCCCAGACCTGGAGCAGCCCTTGCTGATGCTGGTGTCCCCTGGCTCTGCTCCAGCCCCTTGCTGAGGCTGTCAGGTTCATTTTGGGTTAAG